TTTAAGCATTTGATATTAGTAATTTTTTTATTTTATTAATGTTAATTATTTATTCAGTAATTTATTTTTTGCTGTTTTTTTGTTCCCGACAATCGCCAAAATTTAAAAAAATATGCTTGGCTGCGTGTTGGGGTATGATACGAGAATGGAGATCTTCAACCCTTGACCCTCTTCCCTTTAAAAATTCTAGTGTACGCTACTGCCCAATGTCGTTGGTGTGATGAGGTAAGCAAAAGGATATTTTTTATATCTTAATAATAATAAGTACCCGGGATATGTAATTATATATAGACCTACAGAACTAAAATAAAAAAAACACTTTAAAAACCGCGTTTAAAGCAAAACGCAGGATACAAACTTAATAATAATAGCCCCAAATATAGTATATCAAATAATATATTTATTATGAAACAATTCAAAATACATAAAAAAAATAAACATTTTTATTATAGTCAGTTGTTGTTATAATCAGTAGAAGGCTTAGTCAGGCCATCTTGAATTTTCGTATATAATTACTAACTCCTAAAATTTTTAGGCTGTCACCCTAAAATGTCTTGGCGGTCCACTGGTAGATCGCGATCGACGTAATGCCCACCTGGCTCTAGTTAATATGAATTTGTGCTATTATCGTGTACTTTATTACCACCAGTTTTTAAGGTATCCAAACACGTTCGGAGTACTTTAACAAATAGCATACAAAAACATTATAAATTCTCTTTTAGGACTCAATGTCAATAAATATTACTATTTAACTACCAAAATTTAAAATAAATTACCTGAATTTTTCAAAAATCACAGTTATCAAGTGAAATTTTAGCAATTTTTAAAATTAAAGCAGTTAGAGAAAAAAGTAATAAACATATATTAGTAAAAGTATTACTAAAACAAATTAGATGCATTTATCTAGAAAATGTACTAAAATTTTAACTTTTTATTAAAATTTGAAATTTTTAGACCTTATTGAGTAAACATTATAAGAAATGTTACATTTTTTATGAGACCATTATTTAAATAACAAGCGATAACTCACAAGTATTCATACAATAAAAAATATTTTAGTACATTCTCTAGAAAATAACATAAATTCAGGTTCAAAAATTTTATAGAAATACATTCGTAATATTTTGAGTTATCAGACTCGCCATCATAGATTTTGCATTTAAATTCCCACTTCTGGTAGATCAAAAACCCACTTCCGGTTTTTCTAAATTTATAAAATTGATTATAACTTGGCCTCTAGGTAGTGTAGAAACAAAACAAGTATGTTTCGTAAAGTCAAAAGATAGCTCTATTCAATAAAATAAAAAACAAAAATATCAGTCTTGACTGAGTTTTGGTCATTTTCAACGTGTTCGGATACCTTAAATTCTTCGTTCAAAACATATTTTTTGTTTGTCTTATTTAATTACCTAAGTTCATAATTTCTATGTGTTTTCTCTGGTTCCAATTTTCGCTTAAATTTCTGTAACATTTTATCTTCCTAATAAAAAAGGAATAGCAAGTTCATGTAATGTATCTCAAAGAAGATCGCAGTAGGGTGGCTTATAGTAGTGGATGACTCACATGAAGTGCGTTTGAGCTTCCAAGTCCTGATGTTTGCGCGGGGTGGATATGAATAAGCAAGGGTGTGGCAGCTTAAATGTTAATCTCGTTATCTGTACATTGTTTCACTGATAAAAAAAAGTATTCGTTATCGTTATCTGACTCTGATTAGGGAAGAAACAAAACATTGAAAACAAGTCAACAAACTCGTTGTATTTATATTTACGATATTTATGTGGGTTTTTGATGATTATTTAGGAAGATGTTTACTTTTAGTTCCATTTTCTTTAGCATTTCTTGCATATTATATCAAAATAAAACAACTGACTCTCGAGGTAGATGTCTTATTAGAACGATAAATATCAAATGTGTATGAGTAATTGAACTGAAAATATTGTGTCAACAATATATTTCCTACAGTGTAAAGACGTCTAAGACGTCAACAGTATGAATTTTGAAAGTTTTTGCGAAGCAATGGACTGTACATGCTATTAAACATGCATTAGTGGTCAAATCTGGTTACATTTTAAGTAAATGTATATTATTTTAATACATCACTCTACTACGGCAGAAGGGAACGTAGTTTTTCTTGTATTTCCATTTATTAATGGAATTCACTAATAATGAACATACCATAGAACAAGTAATACGAAAAGAAAATTGTTAAGTCAATTCCTACTTAGGTCAAAAAGAAAAATTTTTATTTTTTAGTTACTTTTTTGAATAATTACAATTAATATAAATATGTACATACATAGGACGAATCACAATATTAAGTGGCAAAATAGAAAACGATTTTCCATTTTCCTTTCTATATATATTGTTGGATTATTTTTTTTTTTTGTTCGTATTTATTCATTTGTTAAATTTAATTATTCCAATAAAAAATATCGTAAAAAGAAGATCACATTCTAAAAATAGGCCATCCCAGGTAGGATCGAATCCACGACCTTTGTATTAGAGGACCAACGCGTTTCCATTGCGCTACTAGGATAAAACGAACGGTTTCCTTTTTCATATGGTGTTAAACTATTATTTTTGAAACTATTCATTTTTAATTTTTTTTAATTTAATTAATGAATTAATATTTGAAAAAAACTGAATAAACATCAAGTGTTATCCACTACAAATTCAAAGAAATGTATTTGAAATTGAGTGGATGAATAAAAAGTATTTTATTAATGATTGAAAGTTTGAACAAGACATATATATATATATACACTATCTGGCCAAAAGTATCCGGACACCCAGTGGTATGGACTTAGAGAATCCTGCACATATAATATGATGTTGGTTCCTCTTTTGCATGGATGACAGTATGCACACGTTTGGGAAGACTTTCCACCAATTTTTTGATAGGTGACCATAGGAATGCCTTCCAGGCGTTCATCACAGCTAAAGTGAGTACTTGCAGTGAGGATGGTCGATTTGGCTGCCTACGTAATTCTACGCTCTAATTCGTCTCAAAGGTGTTCTATGGGATTTAGATCGGGGCCTGAGAAGGCCAGTCCAGTTTTTGAACCCCCATTTGGTCAAACCACGGCTGTGCAAGCTTCGATGTGTGAATAGAGGTTATCCTGCTGGAAGAGAAATGGGCCTTCCCCGAAATATTGCTATAGAGTTGGGAGTGCAGCCTTGTCCAGAATGTCCACCTAAATCTCTAGAGTTCATGTTTCCAATCACAGGAACTAACGGACCCAGGCCAAACCACGAGAAACACCCCCACATCCAGCCCACCACCAAACTGCAAACTTAACAGTCGGCACAATGCAGTCACTAAAGAAACGTTTGCTGGGCATCCGCCAAACCCAGACGCGTCCATCTGACTGCCAGACTGTAAAGCGAGATTCATCACTCCAAGAGAACAGTTTTCCACATGTCCAAGTCCAATGACGGTGAGCTCTACACCATTGCAATCGATGCTTCGCATTCTGTGGAGGGATGTTTGGCTTATGAGCGGCTGCACGACTATGGAATCCCAAGTTTTTTAACTCTCGAAGGACAGTCCTGCTGCTAACACTAATTCCTGATTAATTTTGGAACTCCTGAGAAATTTCCACAAACGAGGACTTGCGATTTGTTTCACTACCCTTCTCAGAGTTCTGCGGCTGCGTTCACCAAGTATTTTCGGCCTACCGGTTCGTTTTACTGCCGTTTCACTGCCTCGACCTGTTCCACTTCCCCATTACATCCTTCACAGTGGATTTAGGCTTCTGTAGAATGTCCTCAATCTCATGAACTGATTTCCCACAAAGATGGCATCTCACTATACTGCCACGATCAAACTCACTAAGCTCCTTTGACTTACTCATTGCCTCACAAACGCATAAATATCTGACAAACCACTACCAACACTTTTATAGCTTTCAATTACGCATCAAATTGCGTCACTCACCAGAACCACTTTTTTAATGGGTGTCCGGATACTTTTGTTCAGATAGTGTATATAGGGAGAGTGTGGACTATAATAGTAGGAATTGAATTAAATACATTCCTAATTATTACACGGTTTCTTCGAAGAGCTCAGCGCCATAAGTTCTGATTTGAATTTAAAACTGCTTTATATAATTATATCTTAAATAAATATACTTTAAAGTTTTTATTTTACCAGTAAATTTAACATATCGCTGCATATTTAGTTCAAAATGATCTCCTTTCGACTTCCCATGGGCTTTCTTTGACAAATAATCCATTGAGGCACACATTACCTCCATGGGAATTTCCATGTTTATTTTCCTTAAGAGCATCTAAGACTGTTTTATTTAGGATACCATTTTTGTACCCTTTTGCCTCCAATACTGACCACAATTTAGAGTTGAGTGGATTTAAATCCAATCTATTGGAAAGTCAATTTTCGCGTTCTATGACGCATTCTCTATCAATCACAATTGGGTTGTCTTTCGCCTTATGAACAGGAGTTGAACGGGTTCAATCGCTTCCATTGAACAGATTTATGTTCAGAGGCTACACTTATTGTTCTGTGATAAGTTTTTGACATGATTTTCACTCCTTTCTGTCAAAAATTGGTTTTTGAGACTCCTTCATAACTAACACTCCACCAAACCATTGCAGAAGTCGGACGATGAGTTATCTGCCCAAGCATTCTTTTTAACTTTTTGGGCAATCCTTAAAGATACTTTCTCGTAGATATGCAAAATTCGTCTGTGGTCGTTATGAATGAACCAACCGCAGCATTACCTTTGCTCTAAGGTACCTCTGGCCGGTTTAAATCCTTTTTAAGAGTTTCAGTTATTTTTCGATAACTCTCTTGATCTAAGATCTTCGTTTATATGTAGCATATTGTTCTTTTTGGAAAATACCTGTGTTTAGCAAGAAGAGTCTTTTTTTCGACCAAAAGTTTTTACGAGTTCTCACCCTGACAGCTTTCTTACCAAGCTTCGACGACTGCATCTTCAATGGTCTGCATTGCTCTCCTGATGTGGTCTCAGAAAATTACTTATTAATGCCATACTTGAATAATATTCTAATATTAAATGCTTAAGAGCCTTAAAAACCACCCCAATGGGTTTTCTTTTTTGATTCAGAAAAATATCTGATGCATGTTTTTGTTGAAAGCGTTTAAGCCCTGACTGGTTTAGAACAACACGCGTGAAACACAATTATCTGAAAATATTGCAAACGATTCTCTAACGATGAAATTTAAAATCGTCTGGTGCGTTTGAGTCACAGCAGGTGATCTCGAATTTTTGTATCACAACTTATGGTACGACTAGTTATATGTGCGTGTTAATTTAAATGGTTTCGATTGCGCGCTCTGAATTTAATTAGCAAAAGATTAATACCCAAAACTAGATCTTGTCATACTTCAGTGTCTATTTGGGACAACATATTGTGCTAAGTATATACCGTAAAATCCGGCGTATAACGCCCACAAGCTGCACTTTTTAAAATTTTTAAGTATATTCGCTGCATAACGCGCAGCCCCTTTTTTTTACGAACCCTGAACCGTACGTGCACAATGCTTTTATGTTTTGAAGTCCTTTATTCGAGATATTATACCAGACTTATGAAAAAATAATATACTTCTGGAACTACAACCCTTTAAGTTCATAAGGAATGCCATTTCTTTCACATAAACAGTATTTCGATCTGTGTTGAAGCCTTAATTTTTTTTTATATCATCGCTTTTCTTCTTAAAGCTATCATTTTTAATACTCGGTGTATAACACTCACCCATAATTTCGATTATTCTTGGTGTTAAAAGTGCGTGTTAGAGTACGGTATATATGTACTAGGTGGTCTAAGAGAAACCGAAATCTTTAATACAATTGACGAAGCAAAAGCAATAAATTTCGAAGAATACTATTCAGTGAGTTATGCTGCAGATTGACCTTGAACAGAAAGAAAGGGAAAGTGCAGGAAAGGTGAATATGATTTTTTTTAGCTGTTAAGTAGTTGGAATAAGACCTAATATCAAGTCATGCACACAGATATGCCACAATAAGAATGACAGAATATTCCTCATCAAGGAATTGTTTACTTTTATTACAACTAGCATAACTTCGGAAACAGTTTTTAAGCCTTTTGCTTTGCGTATAAGACTTCCTGGTTATATTATACAATATCGTTACAGAAACAAGCTTGCTACCACCATCTGTTGATACAGAAACAATTTTTTGTAGAGTAATATCGAATTTAAATTCAACGTATTTTAAAAAAATTCTTTAAGATTATGAAAACCAATATATTGTTCTTTCAACATTATTAGTTCTTTTCGCTCTTTTTTCAATACATTATTTGATTTATACCAAGAATAGACTGCTACTTGTATATTACCATTTTCATAATTGATCTCCTCTAAAGCAAATGAATACATTACTGCATACTTAAAATGTTTATTTATTTGTTAAAAAATATCTCTTTTTAATTTTATTACTCCATCTTTAACTGTATTGCGATTTAATAGCTCATTTATTCGGTTTATAATCCAATATTTTTCTCTAAAATCTGCGAATAAAGTAGCACTGCATTCTATAAAAACGTGTTTCAAGAACTCTCTTTCTGAAAAAGGTTTCCCATTGCAAGCATTGCAATGGGCTTCTTACAAACTAATAGCTATAATACTATTTTTAGCGCGTTTTTCACGTAATAGAACAAAAGCGCTATTAAGACGCAAATTTCGTCTTCGTTCCATATTTTGTCGTACCTTTTTCTCAGCCAATAAGCCACCAATTTACCTCGGGTTTTCAGCATTTGGTCGCATTTGTGCACTAGATGAGCCGAATCATATTTAAATTTTCCCATAGTTTTCCAGGATTTTCCTACAAATTTTCCTGAATTTCGCTAGTTTATAGTGAAAAACGCGCTAAAATTATTTGGCCATGCCAATGATTGATATCTTGTTTGGAATCCAACTCTTTCGGTCACTTTTTTGAGTCATATTATGGTGAGTGATATAGTCATGATAGAAAATCAATTAAACAACACATCCACTTGTAATTTTTTTTTGGGGGGGGGGGATTCGGCATTTGTTATTTATACTTTAATGTTTTAATATTTTCGATTGTTTGTTCGCTTTTTATGATAAAAGATAAGTTAACTAAAATCAACGTGGGTCAATTAAAATGCTTTCGTGGGTCAGTCTGACCCACCGGTCATAGATTCGCCACAACTTCCCCAGAGGGTTGGCTCTTAATTATTTATTGATGACGAGTAAAAACTTTTCTATCCCAAGTGTGTCAAATTCCTTTTTTGTGAACTTGTTTGTGTTTTGTATGAGCCCGAGTAAAGGGGTGTACGGGTGTGTGTAAAAATTAGAAAGAAAATTAAAGCAAGGTTAGTGCATCTCAGTATTTAGTACAATTTTTTAAAAAAATGGAATTACATATTTTGACTCTCATAAATCTGTGTTAAAGGTATCGCTTGTCAACTTTAATTTTATTATAATAAAAAAAGAAATAAGAATTTCATAAAAAATCAATCTTAGTTATAAGCTGTGAAATTATTTATTTTATCAATTCTTATTATTCTGAA